TTCCTGTAACAAAAGATAGATTAATAAGAAAGCATAACAGATTTATTTAATCAAAGTGTTATGTGACGTGGGAGCCTTCAGGAATGAAGATCCATAGACCTAGAGAAAACGTTTTTTTGAAATAGGAAAGGTTTATTTTGCTGACAGGAAGAGTAAAGCACTTCAACTCACACATTTATTTCCTTTTCTATGACCACAACAATAATTCATTTGCATTATAAATTATGCTTAGGCTTGGTGAAAAATGGATAGCCACATGAAAGTGTGATCGGACAGAGGGTCGTATGACCTAATGGTAGTGGGCTAAGGAGAGAAATTCAGCAAGGCCTGTCCATTCTTGTGCTCTTCGGCCTGTCTGTATAACCCCCTTCCTCCTGAATTCCACAAAGACCCTCTGGAAGTAGTAGCAGAGCTGAGACTGGGCTGAGGTATCGGAGCGGGAGACATGATGAGTCTTCAGAGGAAAAGGGAGAGCGTTACCTTTCTAGGTCATCTGGCTTGCATTGGAGGAGAGGGATTCTAGTTTCTGCGATCTGCCTTGGGCTTTCTGTAACTCACTTCATGAAAGGAAGAAGAAAAAGGAATGCGAGACGGGAATAGAGGGAGGTCAGAAAGACCTTGTTTCTGCTGTCTTCCAGTGCCTTCTGTTCAAAGAACTCGGTATGCTGAGGCACCACATTTTGGGGCCTTGCTTTCCGAACCTTTGGTGAAAGATAATCCAGTGCCACATGGTGACACAGCAATAAAACGTAAGACCCTTTGAGGCAATCCCACATAGGAAGGTTCCTGGTTCAAATCCAGAGACCTCTCCGAATATGCCAGGTATATGCTTGCCTGTGACCCAGGGACTGGCTAAAGGGTGAGAGTGGACAGCACCAAGACCCCTGTGGGTTCCCTCTGTCTTTCTCTCGCTCATACAAAAGAAGTATGAGAATACTTTGTTTTTTGAAAGAGAAGGAGATCATCTTCAGCATTTTAATGCAGTGACTGCATCGTTGTAGTGGCTAAATGAAGGTCAGATGTGCGGATGGATGGACTGACACGTCTGTATACTAGTCTTGGAAAATGTTAAGACCTGGAAGCATCATCGCAGGGCTAGCCATGGAGTGCCAGACCCTCACCCTTGACCTATAGGAAATTCTTCCAGCATGGGCCTTGGGGAACGTGTAACGGAAACATGAAGTTCTGTATTCTTTTGAAGCTCTATTATTATAGTGTAGAGATGCACATATTCCAGCTTGTAAGTAGCCATGGTAATAAACAATGAATGAATGAGATGCTTCTGGTCAGAGGAGCCCGTATTCTGTGGCATGTTTTCAGTGTCCTGGGTGGATTCTGCCTCCTTCTGTTAGTCCTCCTTCTGGGTCATGAGACTTTTTATTTATTTATTTTTTTTGGAGAGGTTTTCGCTATAGGGCATGTGCGTTCGCCAGACAGACAGAGACATAGAGACAGAAAACGAGAAATCACCCCCCAGGGGAGATGGTCACGCCGCAATCCCTTCTTCTCCATTTTCCTCTCGGGATCTTGGGCACGCACGCACACACACGTGAGTTTTAAGCCACCGGGTCCAGGACGCGAACCGCGGTCGACTACGTGGGAGTCCAGCGACATAGCCGTTATGCTAACTGCTGGTTCCCTGGGTCATGAGACTTTTCAGGGCTTCTGCCCCGTCATTATTTCCCCAGACCATCCTGTCTAGACATTGCTGAAGGGCCATAAAAGAATAGAAGCTGACATTTTTGTAGCACTTTGCGAAGAATTTAGACAACTTAACTCTCACATCAGTCCATTTTTACACATTAAGGAACCAAATTGGGAAAGCTTGAAATACATGTTTAAGGCCACTTTAGGGCTCCTGCCTCAAAGGTTCTCATTTCTCCCATTCTTTGTGGGACTAATCATCCATGGGTCTTCTGCATCGAGTTCCCCATATATCCCTGAATTTTCCAAGGTAGTCTCAGCTATATTCTCCCCTATGTGACCTGACTCCAAGTACTAACAGTGTATTCAGTGTATCCACTCATGCCCCCTCACCAGAATCTGTTGAACTTTATGGTTTGTGGAGTGATTAGGATTGTGGGCTCTGTGGGTTCCACCACTTAGTGTCAGGCGCTTAGGTGAGTCACTTAACCTCTGTGCCTCACTCGCTTCATCTACAGTATGATACTGTGTCCCTCATAAGCTGTTGTAAAGATTAAGTAGATTAACACGTGTGAAAATTTTAGAAAAGTATTCAGCACATAATAAGGACTCAATAGAGATTACCTTCTATCATTTTTTTTTTAAGTTATTTATGGGACCAGCAGTTAGCATAATGGCTATGTCACTGAACTCCCATGTGGTCGACTGCAGTTCGAGTTCCAGACCCGGTGGCTTAAACTCATGCTGGGCACGTGTACGTGCATGCCCAAGATCCCGAGAAGAGACTGGAGGAGAAGGGATTGCGGCGTGGCCATCCCCCCGGGGGGTGATTTCTCACTTTCTATCTCTCTGTCTCTCTGTCTGTCTGGTGAGCGCACATACCCTATAGCAAAAACCTCTCAAAAAAATAAGTTATTTATTTTGGGCCAGCAGGTAGCGTGGTGGTTAAGGCACTGGACTCCCACATGGCCAGCAGTGGTTTGAATCCCAGGCCTGCCGCCCTGCTTTCTTGCTTTCCCTTTCTCTCTCTGTGTTCCTCTCTGGTCCAATTAAAACAATAAAAATAATAATAACAAAAATGAATAATTTTTTTAAGTTACTTATTTCATCCATGAGTGATAGAGACAGACAGACTGAGAAAGAGAGAATGAACACCCAACAAAGTCCTTACTCTAGGATCCATCCTCCCCCGCCTTTAGCCGGCCCTGGGTCATAGTCAAGCACAGGCCCTGTGTTTTCAGGGAGGTCTACAAACCTAAACTGGGAACTTCCCCACGTGGGATTGCTTCGAAGAGCATCATCATACTGCTCCACCACCATCTGGCCTCTGTTACTTATACCTTATCATCCTCAGAAGTTGATTACTTGCCAGAACATGGGGTTTATTTTCCGAAATCAGAAGTGGGAAGCGTATAAAGCTCAGGTGCCAAGCCAGAAGTTTTGGCTCAGTGTGGGAATTTCACACCGTGTGGAAGACTTCTCCACCCACTCACAGGAAGTGCAGAAGCCCACGATGCAGCACCGTGTGCTGGTGGCTCCAGCACTCTGGGCGTCTCATGCTGCTGTTCTCATGTGGGTGGAAGAGGTGAGGCTGATCTCATTCCGCCCCGTGCTGTAGCTGGGCTGGGACAGAACACTAGCGAGTGAAAGGAGGGCTGCAGCCCAGGAGAGGGAGAGGACCTTGAGGATATGCCCTTTCTGCCCTGCCCCTCGGCAGTTCTGCCCCTTTTCCTCCTCTGGCTGGTACCTGTTACTTAGAGTCGAGCCCTAGAGATTTTGACTGTGAGGGAGGAGAGATTTTGAAAAGCAAATATTGCCTCGTGCCTGAAATAATCAGAGCCGGCCTCAGCTATCCCTTCCTCTCTTCCCCTTCAGCATCGTTTTCAGTGGAAAGGAAAAGGGGGCTGTGAATTTGACATTGTCATCCTGATGCTCAGGCTCCTTTCAAAGCAGATTTTCATGTTTTGATCATATCTTTGATAGTAGGAATTCCTCATTTCCTGCTGCCATTCACTATGAAGAGTTAAAGTTCCCCTTACCAATCCTCCCTCCCTCTCCTCCAGACACACAAGCTCTGCGGCAAACAAACACAGTTTTATGACAAATGCTTGCACAAAAAGTATTCAGAGCCCTGGGCTCCCCGATGCACATTTCTGCTGAGACAGGGACTTCTCTTTGCTCATTTTAAAGTCACAGCCTTTACACAAGTTGCCGATGTCTC